AAGTCTATAATTCATCATTCTCCGAATCAACGACTCCCCATGCGAGTGAAAATATTTGAAATTTTCCATCTTGGCAGGTTGCTACTAGTAGAGTGCCTTTCATTCTTGATTTTAGGAATGTACCATCTACAGAAATTACCCTTCGCATTGAGTTGAGGAATCCACGTATTCTTGGTCCCAATGCCATAAAAAAATACTTGAAGCGCCGATCATCAGTAATATGAATGAATGTCAGTGTACCAGGATTTTGCATCTCCAAAACATGACAATATGCTGGTAATTTCACATAACTCTCAAGTGGTTTTCCACGGATCAATCCACAAGTAAAATGTTTAGCCATATACGCTTTAGTATAGCTTACGGTTATGCCGAACTCTCGATGAATGTCATTAATGATGTCCCTTGGTCTGTAAACTCGGTTGGCATCTTGATACTTCGGGGCGATGTGGTTTCCAATGATCATATATGAAGCATGCATATGGTCTCTGGGACGAATGCTCATGGAGCAAGAGCGATGACCATTGTACTTTCGAACTTCGAAAATAGAACTTTCTTCGATCTGGTTGCTCGCAACAGCCACTTGCAATTTTCATCGATACAAACAATTGTATAAGTGCTCTTATTCGACTTCTTAACTTTGTATTCAAAGTGACATTTTACATCTAGCAATTGCTATTTTGATATTAGGTCATATTTTGATGTAAACAACTGGTTCACTTGTACATCTTTGTTTTCTGGAATTCTTACTGATGTTTCACAACGGAGCGAACTTGCATTTGCAGATACAATCCGAATACATTCAACATCATTTTCATTCACTACATTCCAACTATAAAGTTCATCCATGGGTAACTTCACATTATTATCATCTGCTATAGGAGAATTATCGTCGCCATCTACTCTTCGAGGACTATCTTCACTTACATCAAAATCATTACAATCTACAAATATTCCATCACCGTTGTCATGGTTAGCATCATCGTCCGTTCGAACACGTTCTTCCTCGCTATTTATATTTGCAATTTGTTCTTTACCCTCTGTTCGTAATAAACATCCTTCATTACCAAAATCTTCTTCATTTTCAACTTCATTTGAAAGGGTTACACAAAGAAAAGTTTCTTTATAGACAGATAGAAACCACTTCACATTATTGTCACAATCAATTATGGTCGAAACAGCTGGGCTTTAGATATTATAGGGACAAGAGCTGAAATCTCCATTTTGTACACCCTTGTATCGACCTTCAATACCTCTTTGATTTTTTCATACAATTCTACATAATAAATAGTTTTCGCAACAAGAATATGAGTTGTTTTTCCTTTGCCATTCCCTATATATTTCCATTTCCATGCACCTTTTATTAAATGTTCATATTCAATTGGATAACAAACTGATATCCATACCATATCCGCGGTGTCCATAACAGTAATTCAATATAAAAATTTCATCAAATTTCAAATATAACACAGTACTAATAACGATATGTAAGTTGTTATGGATTGTATAAAACGACATGTAAGTCGTTATGTATAGAAAAAACCAAACGTATGTTTTATAGTACAACAATGAAAAGAATAGCCATACATGCCTTTGCCAACTTACATTTCCCTCCAATTAAACAAATAACTGGTAATGAGAAAATGGTTGGGAAGTAACCTATATCAAAACTCTAATCCAATGTCAAAATGAATTCAAAATCATTGTTCACAAATGAACACCATAAACATATATACAACAACATAAAAAAATTATTCAAAAAAATGGAGAAAGAAAGTAACCCAAAAACCTTTTCTTCTTCAAATGTCCAACAAGAATGTTGAAAGATTATATTACTCACTTCAACCAAATGAGTGTTTAAAAGAATGTAGAATTTATGGTTTCTTTAAGTAGAGAAAAATGATGATGAGAAAATGAAAGGATTGCATACCTGTAGAGAGCCAATTTTTGAAGAACAAATGGAAGGTAGAATTCAATTAGGTTTAAATGGAAATTGAAATGAGAATTAAGACAATAATATTTTTTTGTATACAAGGACATTCTAGTCATTGACAAATTATATTTTCCATTTTTCATATATGTAGGCCTTCTAACTAAAGAACTTAGTTGATGAACTTTTTAAACTGGGGAAAAATTTATGGATCAGGTATTATCTATTATAAAATCAAAACTCAAGCCCCAATGTTTAGAATTGCAAAAATCAAGTTTTTTCATGAATTAATTAATTATATTTTACAATTATTATATTAAATTAAATATTTAATTGTAATATTATATAATTAACCACCCACCCCACCTCCACCATCTCTACTCCGGTGGTCGGCGACTACTCCGACGACTACTTCCCGATCGCACTTAATTTCGACGATTATACCGATTCCGAGGTCACGGATATCTTATTGAGGTCACAGTTAGCTTAATTCAAATAATTGTTTCAATGTCGAGGTCCAGATATCTTATTAAGTTCACAGTTAACTTCATTAGTCACTCATCGACAAAAATATAAAGTCACATATATCTTATTAAGGTCACAATTAGCTTAATTCAGATAACTGGTCCGATTTGGAGGTCACATATATCTTATTTAGATCACAGTTAGATTAATTCAGATAACTGCTTCAATTCCGAGGTCACGATGTCTTATTAAGGTCACAGTTAACTTCATTAGTCACAACAATAACAAAAAATGACGACCCTATTCCGGGGTTACAGATGTCTTATTAAAGTCACAGTTAACTTCATTCGTCACAACAATAACAAAAATCGACGACCACCGACAATGGATCCAAAACCACCAACAATAGATCCATAACCGCCACTAACAGATCCACCAACAACAGATCCAAAACCATCGCTAGCCACACACCCACAGATCCACATCTGAGCCACACACCCACCCAACTGCTTCACCCACCAAAAACGTCAGAAGTAGCGTCCAAAATGCTGGCAGCATCGTCGACGCTGCTGTGCGACACAGCAGCGTCACGCTGCTGCGACACAACAGCGTGTCGCACAACAGTGTCGCTGCTGCGCCACATAGCAGCGCAGCAGGGATGCTGCCGCGACACAGCGGTGCAGCAGCGTCGCCCTATTGTGTTCCTCATCAGCGACTCTGTTGCGTATCTGAGAGAGGGGAGAGGGAGGAGAGAAGTGAGGGAAGGGAGGAGACCCCTAACTGGGGTCGTGGCGTGGAGGTGGCGAGAGGCAGAGTGTATAGAAATAAAATGGATTAGGGCTTGGATAGAGATTTATATTTAAAATAGATTTGGTGGGGTATATAGATTAATTTAATTTAAAATATTATTATTAATATTAATTGTAAAATTAAAACCTGATTTTTTAAAACATTAAACTAAACACCTGATTTAATGTAATTTCCTCCTAAACCTTGGTTTGACTAGGCCCATTAAATGAAATCCCCCTCATTTTTTTATGACCAAAATGTTGAGATGATTGATGAATCCGCTATTCAAACTTTCTTTGGAGCAGCACAAGAGTATTCTAGTAACACAGATCATGGATACATCTTATTTTACGAAGGGCTTGTTGCTTCTAACACTAGCTGAGAGGAGATACAATTTTAGCCTGGACCCTCCTTTTCCAATTGTTAACATTTTGACGTTCTTTGTTCTTCACCATTACCTTCCTATAATTTATTGGAAACTTTTCTTAATATCAAGCAGGTCGATATGACTTGGAGAATATACCATGTACACTGATGATGGAAGCAACAGTTCATTCTTCCAACGAGGAGGAGAAAAAGATGTATTTATTTATAAACTCACTTTTTTTTTTTTCAGATTCATGGGAAATCATTTCCAGCTTTTGTGGCTGATGTGTTTTGCAGGTTGAGGTTTCTTCTCATTGTGACTGTATATGTAATGGATTTGTATGAATTTTGGTTACATTTTATGGAGTATTACGAATGCCCTGTCTTTATCCTCTCAACTATTATGCTTAACGTGTTGCCCATAGCGTTCTACAGTAGAATAGGTTGGGAAGAGAGAGTAAGACTGGGTTGGACTGTGTGCACCTTATTGCAAGTTTGCCTCGTTCTCTCTGGCTAGTTCACTCGCAGTGCCTTTGATGCCCTCTCGTCTTCGGGAAAATCAAAATATTCTTCACGTTGGTTTGGCTGCTGCTCAGCCTGCTCTACACGAAGAAGGATAAAGTTGTCAATTTTTCTACAAAGAGCAGTGCGAATCAACATTTGTAATTGCATTTCTGCAGCCTCTTTTTTGAGTTTTAGGCATTATGCGCAAGTCAGATTATTGAAATGACTTCTGTGAGGCCTTGTGGTATTTACAATTTGCTGTCTGAGCATATCAGGATTTTCTGCAGCTGTACTAACACCATTTGTAATGAAAATAACTGGTTGTATGATAATAATTCAACCAGATACTTTGTGTGAAAAGATTGATATCCTACGCGTCTGCCTTTTTTTTTTTTTTTTGAGAACTTGTAACAACTTCATAGTGGAGAGCTTCTTGTCATGCTCTAGTTGCACTATAGAGGAGCTGAGTGCCGCATGTTAGCTTGAAAGAACCAACTTTATTTACTACTCTTCACGAAAAATTACGTGCATTGTATGGCCAAAAAACAAGATGAGAGGGTTTGCTCGTTAGTTAGGAGCCAAAAGATAAGTCATTTAGTGAGCTCACTTTTATTTAAATACATTCTCAATCATCTAATCCTCCTTACCAAACATGGCATTAATGTAATGTGACAGCTTACATTCTATTAAAAGGAAACTTGTATAACACATTGAGAGATGTTAAGATGTCACATTAGCATTACTACTTACAAATGTCCATAAATACATAAGAGTTGATCTTTAACACCAGTACCAAGTCTGCCTATCAGTTCTCGCCACTACAAAGTATAAGCTTAAACCAATCGATCAAATCTAATTTAAGAGCAACCTGTGCAACATAATTATGCAATTTGACCTGTTAACTGAGCTATATGGAGATTTTACAAAGGATAAAGTGATGTGGACAAGTTTAAGATGCCATAGGCATGGAGGTGTCTTCATCCAACAAGGCTTCAAGGTTGATCAAATCATCATCAAAATCAGCTTCTGGATTGTTCAAGATCTTGTCACAACCAGCCTGCAGTCAAGAAAATCAGATTAAATTTCAGAGTCGAAGTGTAATATGCACATTATAAACTCGATGTTGGAGGTTTATTTGAGTGACGTTTCAAATTCTCAGCTATTCTGAAAGCATGGATTCCCAAAACATGATCCTAAACATTCTTAAACAATTCTTAAACCACTCGAACAAAGAAAGTTTACAAGCGAAAGATGGGGGAGTTTCGGAGCCAAGAGAGAATCAATCTTATAATCTAATGAGTAAGAACGACAAGAAAAAAGTTGCAACTACCTAAATTATCTGTTTGGGATAGGACATTTTTTTAGTTTTATACATATGCAAAGTCAACATTGAATTTTTATTTCTATTTTCATTTTTTGCCCTTGAATTCTTTGTGCTTCTGTGCGGGTGGGGTGGGGGGCAGCGGCGGCAGCCTAAAAGAGGCTTTATATTGTTGATACAGATTGTGAGTGCCCAAGTGTTATACAGATAAGAAACAAAATAGTTGTACCTTTTTTTCCTGCATCTCTGAGACAACATTCAGTAATCTGCGATATTGATCTCGAGCCTCTGGATATTGAACCATGGATTTCACCCTGGCTAGAGCCTTAGTCAATCTCTCCTCTGTTTGCTTTCTACCTTCTTTAAAGAAATCGTACTCATCCTCCTTTGCTTCTGTTAGTTGCATGCTAGTGCCTGCAGCAGGTGATTCGGGTTTGAATCCACTCAGTCCCCGTCCTTTTCGTCGCCAACGCAAAATGACCTTATCCAAAATTCCGACAGACCAGATTATCTTTTTATAGTTCTTCCTCACCTGGTGTCCTCTCACATGGGCCTTTTCCAAGAATAGCCAAAAATTAGAATTTCGGAATAGAACCTTATAACTGAAATATTGAAGAAAGATAATAACGTGATCATCTTGAACTTTTAACATAAGTAATAATGCATCACACCTGAATTTTAATAACTCGCTGCCGGATTAGCAAAAACTCCTTTCTTCCTTTCCAACTGCGGAATTTATTTTGTATCCGTATAGCTGCAGCAGTTGGTTTATCGTGTGGTCCTGACCTGCTGGTTTTTACAGCTAGAAGTGAAAGAGCACGTTCATCTGACATTCCTAATTTACCATCCCCATACTCTTTTAGCTGCTTTCGCTGAAAGGATTGCACTCTGAAGACTTGATAAATTCGAGTTGCAGCTTGAGTTGCATTTCGCACAGCAGCTAATGAGTCTTTCATTGACAAGCCATGCGGCAAGTCACCATAATCGACTGGAGTAGCAGTCCGCTCAGAAACTGTTTCTACAGCCCTTTCTCCTCTATCACCCTCTTTGGTTTCCTTCAAGTTAAGCAAAAATAGGTGGTAGCTCAAGGCAGATTCCGCAAGATAACCGGCAATTCCTTTGTGTCCATTGCTGGATGCTAGGTCTGCAGGAGTTCTTCCAGAAGGGTATTTGGGGGTGGGATCCGTCAATGCTCCTGGAGCTGAGCCTAGGGAGATCAGGAAAGCCACTGTACGCTCTCTGATATTGCAAGTATTTAAGCAAAAAGACACCAAAGCAAAGGATAAAATTAAGATTTTTCAATAGATGCAAGTTCATGTCAAATGATTTAATACTGAAGAAGAACATACTCGGCTTTGAAACATTTTTATGACATGATGTATGACATTATGATTCATACCTGCCATAATATGCCGCCCAGTGTAGCGCCGTCCATCCATTTGCATCCCGGAAATCGACGCTAACACCTGCAGCTATTGTGGGTGGTATAGCCCAGTAATAACCTAAAGCAGCTGCAAAATGCAACACACCTTGACCACCTTCATCTAAAAGACTGGGGCCTTTTCCACCTTCAGTGACCTTCTGGAGAAGCCAATAATGCAACTTCTCCTTTAAAAGCTTTTGCAGTAGCTGATCCTTTATCTTCTCTGGTGAGAATTCATCCTGTGTGGTAATTAACATTTGTTCCCACTCAGCTTCATCATTCAGTAATGCACTGATTTTACTGCACAAATCAGAATTTTCAGCTTCGCTATTGACACGAGAAGTTTGGGGGGTGAAAGATCCCAGAGACAACAATTTCCCAAATCTCATGTGTAGAAGAGTTTCGTCAGAGTTGGAACTTCCTAATTTGGTAACATCCATGTCTTGAACGGCGCTATTCCGGAATTCAAATTCTCGCACTTCACTGCATGCTAACCTGTTCGAACATGTTATGTAAAATGGAACCCTTCCACTCCCATGCAAGGGAGTATGGCAACGAAGAACAGAATCTGTTATAACCTCTGCAGGAACTTCCAGTTCACCAAACATGCATGCCCATTTACACTTCTCCACCTCTTCTTGACTCTTTAAGAATCTTCCCATAATAAGCACCTGACCGTAAAACACAAAAGTTAAAATATACTATCATCATTACTTTTGAAGTAATGTACAATCAGCGTGATATTTAGCAACTGTAGTTAGAGCTGAAACATCTGAGATATCAAAGCGCTATTTTGGACTGAAGCATTTGCCAACGCACCTTATTTTCTGAACCAGCATATGCCCAGCTTGGCGAGAAATCTATAATGCTAAACAGCTGATCTTGGGAGAGAGAGGGGCCTAATATGTAGTTATCCAAGGGCACTTGAGCAGAGATGCCAGAATCATCCACTCCAACTTCTCTGTCAACAGTCTCCCAGTATGCCCCTGAGCTAGGCTGCATATGTGACTCTGTAACATCTCCAAGTTCTTTACTCATCCAGCGGTCAAAGCTGTCAAGCTTTCTCAGTTCTTCTCTTAAAACACCATCTACACGAGGTTGTCTTAAGGCTGGATAATTGGCCTTGTTTTCCATATTCAGGTTGCCATCTGACTCTGATTTTAGGGAACTTCCTACTTCCAGATTCAAAGATTGCATTTGAAGATTCTGTACGGGATGTTCACTTTGTTCAGCTGGATAAGTATCATTAGGCCCCATGGAGTCATGCAGCTCAATGTGTTTAACACTATTTTGGTTGGAAGCAGTATCATATCCAGAATCCCGATGCAACTTATGAACCATAGACCAAGGTAAGTGTGCAGAATCACGTTCAGTAGTCTGTTTGAATTTCGAAATCAGAAAAATTATTATTGGCAAAAGAAATCATTTGCAGAGTAGTTTGGTGAACAAGCTCACAACCTAATAAGCCCCTGTTTGACAACCATTATTTGAAAAAATCTTTTTTCCACATGCTCATTTTTAACCATACATTCACATAATAAAATATTCTGCATGTAAACCCAAAACTTTTTCCTATTTTTTAACCATACATTCTCCTGAAAATCACTATTCAAAATATTGTTTGTCCCAAATAATGGTTGTCAAACCAGGGCTAAATCTAGACATTAAACTTTATAAATACTTGCAGCTGCTATTAATTATAGAATCATTTAAAGTTTTATTTTCATTTCCATGAACTGCAAAGAAACCTGAAAAATGAAGCTTTTTTGAATATTTTCATACATGCACAGAAAGTCCATTAAAAAAATTTGCATTACTTTTCAGCTAAAATAATAATGGCTATTAAATAGCAACTCTATCTCATCAGATTGAGATGAAAATGAATTTATATAATGTGGGTTTCACTGTGATTGAATGTCATACAAGGAAGCTCCCAAATTAATTATATTTAAAAGTTTATAGTTCCAAAACTATTTAGTGGTTCTTTTACTAAATTTAAAACTAAAATGTTTCGAAACGTCTTGAAAATTTTGGCCATAAATGAAAGCACCAAGATTTTGTTTTTGCAATACCTTACATAAATTCAAAACTTTCACCCAGATGATGATATTGTAACTTAAAGAACACTATAAAATTAAAAACTCCTAGTTCCTGAAGTAATTCCTCAGTATTGCTTCATGCAAATGGGATTCAGTTTTTAAACAACAAAACCAATGTCTTTTAAGAACGACTTCTGATGAACAACTGTACCTACCATATAATAAAATTATCAGAGTAAGTTAACTTATCCAAACCTACTTCTAGCTAAAGCATTAGCCATCCCATGAACCTATACACTCGAAAGGTCTTCCTCAGCCTCAGGTCACCTATTACCTACTTATACCATGTCACATGAGATCTGGTAAAGGGATGATATAGAGGGGTATAGTCTGCTAACTTACATGGCTCACTCACTATATATAGATTTTTGGCTAAGCTTAAAAAATCTCCAATAAGTAGATAAGAAAGTTACTGTTAAGGTAAAATTACTTTCAAAAAAGTAACTTTTTTGCTTTAAAAGTAAGAACTGAGGTACGTTAGTGAAACATGTACTAAGAAAAAAATTTATTCCAAAGAAACTTTACTGTCTTTGAACAAATCCAAACATGCTGCATGTTTGACCGTCGAAAACTCCTATTATAGTAGAGAGTAAGCACATATATAATATTTCATTGGTACCAAACCTGCCACTCTTCAAAGCCGCCCAGATTGCTTCCAAAGTCCGGCTTTTTACCAAAAGCACCATCAAAAACTTGCCCCAGGAGTTCATATTCTTGGCCCAGCATCATGCTCATCATACTAGGTTGGGACGAAGAAATGGATGGCTGAACATTGAGAGACTCATAGCCTGCGGTACTGCTTTCCTTGACATTTTCCCAAGATGGGAAATCAAGGTCTTGGTGAATCTCATGTGCCAAACCATTATCCATGGGGGTTGTAACTCTCTCTCCTGTGACTGATTCAAAAGTCATAACAGCACTAGCTGTAAGTTGTCCTTGATAATTATCTGCAAAGGTACAGGATTATTACCGATACAAATGAACATAAAAGCAGAAAATATACTCTGCCATTATCTTTCAGCATAAAATAGCTATATGAGCATATCTTCTTATTAACATTTTTAATTTTTTGAGGAACATACTAATATAGTAATAAATTCACATCAGATACTAATATCTGAAAACTTTTTCAAATTAAAATGTAAAAATGTATATACAATATAGCTTGCACTGTCCAATTGACCACAAAAGTTGAAACAACTTATCAATTTTGAACTATGGAGAAATGCTATGATAAAGAACAAAATAAATGACCACAACACATTACTTGGTGTAGGGACTGGAAAATAAGGAACAGAACTATCTCCCAAATTCTGTATCACAGGGGACTGTAACTCATTAAAAGACTGGAATCCTGGACTTGCTTGGTGGCGGTATGCTGCATTTGCAAACATTAATGTGATGACCAATGAAAAAATTATTTCTGATAGTAACTTTTTTATATATAGAAAACAGAAATTGTGAAATCTTCATTATAGATTCACACATTGTAATTAATTTGCGCTTAAAACACAACAAACGTACAAAACTAAACCTGATTCAGCATCTTCGTACTCTGAAGCCTGAGCACTGTTCAGGCTAGTAGTATCTGTAACTTGTGATGTTCCTCGATAATCACATCGGTAAAACTTCGAAGATTCAGGGCTATCCACCTCAGAATTGGGTATATCTTCTTCAGTTTCTTGGCTACCACGAATAACTTCAGCCTCCCTATTGCGATTGAAATTTGTTCTGTTTCCCTGCAAAATAACGTTACATAGATTTTTGAAATATGACAGCTCTATAAACATACAAAGGAACCATGGAAAGATACAAATGATGAAGACCTAGATAGGAATTTGGATATGGGCAACGGTCACCATTATTTTAGATTAGTTATGTTATTATTAGAATATTCTGAAGATGTACTATGTAAATTGAAAATCTGGAGAAATTATATCAAGCGTTTTAATTAAGGCATTATCATTGATAAATTACAAAAATGAAAGCAAATCTCGGTATTTTTTTTGTTAGAAATTATAGTGGTAGCCTAGTGCTGGAGAATTGGAGGGAGTCGTCATGTCTTTTTCCGAAGGATTGAACAGGCAGACCGTGTCATGTCAGTTTTTTTTTTTTTTTGTCGACAGGGGTAATGGCATGAGTGGCATAATAACATAGAAACTAACTATAACTATGATTCAACGAACAGAGTCTACAGATAGTCCTTGAATTCATAGAAGTTACTTCGGCTATGAGATTTTATTTCATAATTTAAATTCTGCTTTAACCCTTCAAATTATTGAGGATATATCAAATCTCCTGCAGTTTAAGTCAAATTTGCAAAAGACAACCAACTTTTTTATTATTGGACTTGCTGAAAACTCTTCAATTATATGAAAGTCAACTTGACAAAACAGAATGACTGGATTGGATCATTACCTTTACGTCCCGGTAGTGTACAAGAACTATGTGAGATAGCTCCCTAGGCAGAAATCAGCCATATAAATAGAATCAGTAATCCTCCGAGGGAAAAGCACAACAATAAGAAGAACAATGAGTAGAAGTTGTGAAACCTTGAATCCCAAGTATTGTGATATACATTCATATAAGGTCATTTGTGGCGTTTAAAATGTGATTGCATGATAGACTCAGATATTTTAGTACCTCATTAAAAGAATCCCACACATCCTTAACCAGTGTAGATGTGAAAATGCACGTACATGACCAACACGTACATAATTTAGAAAAACAAAAAAAGACATTTTACAGGTGCACGCACACACATAGTGGTAGCATAAATGAAACAAATGAATATTCACAATTTTTGAGAAATTCTAATTCAAATTAAAGGAGTGCAAGTGGTAGTAGAAGACAAATTTTAGCATTCCTACAAGAAACTCTTAGTCAACATACAGGATTACAGAAAACTGTGTGAGAAACTGAATCATGAAATAAACATAACAGTAACAAGCATGCATGTTCATAAGTAAAATTAAGCCCTTGTATGGCTCCCATTTTCTAAAACTTATTTTTCAACAAACTCAATTTCAACCACACATTTCATGGGACCCACAAATTTTATCAACTTTTAAACCACACATTTCATCTACTTTTATCCAAATCTACTAAAAAATTAATTTTTGGCAAAAATGAACAGGGGGCTAAATGTATCCACTAGCCTGCCTCACTGTCTTAACTATAGCTTCTTTCCAGAATTCCGAATTAACTTATTTCATCACATGTTTACAGTTCTGCAAATAAATAGATATCATCCAAGCATAAACCACAGGTGTAAAGTGGGCCATGTCACGTTCAGCTGTCTCATGATGTGCCTGTCACGGTTCAAAATTTTGCCTGTTGGCCCAGGCCAGCAGTGAGACAAATGTGGAAGAACGAGGGAAGGGAAGGAATGTGAGACTTTTCTGGAAGAGAAAAGGAAGAAAGGTAAAAGTACAGCAATAGTTTGTGTGCTTTGCTGTACCACTTGTACCATGAGTGGATTTTCCAAAATTTGGCTTCTTTTTAGCACAAAAATAAGCCAAAATATCAAGCACAACAGAGAAAGCCCACGTGGGATGCAGGCCAAGCATCCTTGGCCACCCACAGCCAGGACTTTTCCTCGGTCTTGCTGGCACAATAGGTAGCCCAACCCACTTTGCACCTTTAGCATGAACACAGAGAAAAGAAGGCCAGGTACCCATGGGAATATTATTTGGAGAATTTTTCAACAAGAAAAACAACAATTTCACAATTTATAGACTCTAATCATTTCCAAATGAACCTAACAACTTATAATAGTGGGACAAGTAAAGTTTTAATCATTTTGTAGCACACATCAGGGAAATTCTAATCCTCATGAATGAAAAGGATTAAAAAATAAAAAGATGCAAGCATGTAACTTGTAAAATGCGAAACTTGAATAATTATTATCTTTCTTAGAAAAAAAATTTCAAAAATTGAAGGTCATAATCTTTTGCATTGGAAAAAAGTTTAATAAAAGCAGACAAAACTTTAGAACTTACTCTTCAAGCATCCAGTAGCTACGCCTTTGAAAATTTTCATCATCTTCTCCATGGGCATAGTAGCAATGCAATACATCAACGCTTCCAGCCTGAAAAAAAAATATAGAGCTCTAGATATATAAGTTTTGAAGCATCAACAGAATAAACTGCCAGTGCAATTTTTCAGATTCCTACCAGAAAAATTAAAGTCCATAAAGCAAAGCAATATCACCCGGCACTTACCTTGAGCCTTTCATGAGCCTCCTTCACTGTCTTTCCATCTTTCTTCTTCCTCCAATTATGACCATCTTTCCGGAAGTACCTCAGCACCTTCCGGTCAAAAAGAAAAAGGGAACCACCTAAAAGTACAAAAGAAAATCATCACGATTTTTTCTAGCCTACATAACTTGAAGGTGAAGTATGGCAATGAAAGAGGACCACTGAATGGAGTAACCTACAAAATGAGCAGATGTTTAGGAAAGATGCATAGGCTCATTTGATACACCCAAAAAAAATGAATTTTGTGAAATCCAAATTGCAATAGATTGATGATATAATCTCAGTGCGGATCAGAACATCACATTACAAGATAGGAAGCACAAGTTACATATGTCCCTTGAAAGATGAATAAGCAGTACTTTATCAAATCATACCAAAGAAACAAGAAACCAGTCAAAAACAGGTCTAAATCTTGCAGAAATTAACTCAACAGAGTAGACTTGAGGGAACAAAGATAGAGCCAGGTGTTTTTCAGAGCACAAACTGATACTGATATTATGTTAAAAAAGACATGAGAGCCATACTTGCAGGTCTACTAGGAGGCTCCGGAGTAATGTGGAATTTTTTATAATTACTAAGAATTTCACAAATCTCAGTAGGACGAAGCCAGCGGTGTTGTGCTTCCAAAAGTATCTGCCCAATATCTGCATTAAACAACAGTCTCAGTTAATCAATCCAGAGATATGAGTTCAGAAGGCTTTCTCTTGTGGAAAGAAGGGGAAAATAGAATAAAACAAGCGATCAGTTCATGTGTGAATTTAAAAAGAAAATATAGGGCATAGAAGGCATCACGTCCTAGTTTAGGCAACAGTTTAAATTACTCATTTTGAAGTCAAATCGTTAACCCCTTCAGAACAAAACTTCACCATTTGGCATTTTCAATAAAAGAATACTTGGAGAATTCAGATTTTTGGTCAATGAATTCAACTTTCTCCTATTATCATGAAATCATATTCCATGTTCCCATATCTCCTTAATGCTAAATTCAACATAATGTCTCTACAAATCTTGATCCAATCTGTTTATCTGGCTCCCCATCATGAAGTAACACCCTATACTTTCACTCTCAACTTCTCAATGTCGAATATATTGTTTAAGGTATATTAGAGTAATGATCTGAGTAACAGCAGTACAGTTATTTTAGCAACATGAATAGAGCAGATTACATGAAATGAAAAAAAAATCAGCAATGAAGACATTGGTAATACAAGACACATAAATAGAACTGTAACGTGACTGAATAGTAGAATGTTAAGATTTTAACTTCTCTTTCTTTCTTTCTTAACACACTCTAATACTATTGAATCATTCCAGCCACTATGTCATAAGGATATTGGAGTTAATCAAGAACGTCTGCATTTATCTTAAGCTCGTTGAAATGTAGAAATGAGATATTTTTATCCATCTAAAACTGAAAACTGATCATAAAAATTTCAGCAAGATAAATCCTGAGAGAAGCTTAATAGAAGTGTTTGGTAAGTATAGAACAAAGCAAAGAATAACAATGATAACATAAGCATTACACCTGCCTCTTTAGTAAAGGTCCTTTAACTTAGTTAATATTTCCAAAAACTAATCAATGAAAAATTTTATACAATTTTTCACGAACAAAAATATCCATACTTTTATTCAGAAAATGAAGCTAGATATAAAATCAAACATGACAAAACAAAACCATGATACATGAAAATGTTGATTCATATTTTCAAAATTATTTCTTCTTTTTATTTTATGATCATTATTTCTGCACATTCAATTACAATTCAGTAGAAAATAAATGTACGGTTTCGACCCAATTCCATTTAGTTTAGATAATTATTACTTCAAATCATGTATATAGTCCAAGGGCTCAAATTTCATACAACAGGGCAGGTACCAACATTTTTAGAATGATTGAAGGGATCTTCAAGTCTCATTACAGTTAAAAAAAAAAAAAAACATTGACAAGAAATATAAATTAACAACTTAAAAAGAGAGGGTTAAAAGAAAAATTACCTAATTGAGCATTGAGTGCGTAGCGCCGAGTCTCCGCCATCCAATCATCAAATAGAAGCCGATTTTTCAGCCCTTGTTAATTAGTCAATATGTACAAATGTGTATTTATAATTCATTTTTCATCAGATCAAAACTAACGAAAAAACTCGAAGCTTTAAGAATTAAAACCTAGAAACCAAAAATAAAGACAAATTAACAGAAAAAAAGGATGAAGATCTACTTGGAAACAAGTTGTATATGCAATCAAGAGTAAATGAAAATCAAAGAAATTAAATAAAACGCAGATTAAAAGCGTGAAATTGAGGAAGTAGCACAGAAGGAGAGTGAATTGTTTAACGGGGCCGCCGAATTGGAATACAGTTCACAGGTTCAGAGGTTTATGTATAGAACAAATTGCTCTTTTGGTCTCTAAACTACGAAAAAGAGCAAGTTAGTGCCCAACGTTGTAAAATAAGTGAACATTAATCCTAATTAAGAATGCATGTGCCATATTTCGTGTTGGAAAATGCTTATTGCGTATAATTTCTTACATAATAATGATGTGTCAAAATATAAGTGGAGAAATTATTTGATTGATGAGATTTTGATCCAATTAAATCTTATCACATCATTTATTGGTAAATCATTATGTGATATACAAGTCGGGTTACGTTGACTATTTTTCTTTTGAATAATCCTACGTATCCTAGGTAACAACTGACATAGCTGATTCATTGTCCAATTAATTATCATGCGTTTTTTGATTTCTTAAAAAATGAATGGGTGTTTCACTGTCACTTAAACTAATACTTATTATTAATCAGCCCCTAAGCGGCTCGAGTGAGTAGCTCATGATTTTCATGAACATGCTTGTAGGGCGAGCTCATGCAAGCTAGCCTGATAACAAAAAATAGTTTTTGATATCATTTTAAGATTTCTTTTAGTCGATAATTTATCATTTTAACAAATTTGGTTGGATAATCATCTAAAAGGACTTGTTCTGCACGAAGTTTAATATCTTGGGGATGACTTTGCACTCTCTCACACATTAAGGGTCAACTTGCTATATCAATTGATTGGGGACCAACATTGCTATCCCTTATATGTATAACGGACTTTGTGTTCGTGCATAACGGCCAATTTGACGTTATTTTTCTGCGAGGGTTCATCACAACTAGAGTTTGTACGTTGTGTTTAAAGTTGTGTACTGCTGAAACTAGAAGACAAATTGAAATTCCCAAACACTACCGCGTGAACTTAAAAAAAAAAAAAAAAAAAAAAAAAAAAAAAAAAAAACC